CAAAAACATCTCAATTATTCAGAAACCTTTGACCAGTAGTGTATATTAAACCACAATCCATCTCTGCTGATGTTCATAAATATAAACATAACCGTTCCTGAATCAGATCCATACGTGTTCTTTCCTACATGTATGTGTGTGTTTTAGACTCATGATAACAGGGAGCATCTGGCCATGATGGAGCGAGTACATGGACCCGTTCCTTTCAGAATGATCCGGAAAACGAGGTCAGGAAACACTCTGAGCGTTGGTTGATGTAGTCCGTGTGAATAGAGTCCAGTGTGAGAATGACTTGACCTCTGCACTCAGGAAGCAGAAGTACTTTTACAGAGGTCGTCTGGACTGGGACGAGAGCACGTCTGCGGGACGATACGTCCGAGAGAACTGCAGACCTCTGAGAGTGAGTGACTAATTACTCTGACCATTAATTGGATCATTATAATTAATTTTTTGTAGTAATAAAATAGACCTACGTGAACAATAGCCTTTAAAATGACTTAAAATGCATATGTAATAGCATTGCGGCAATACTAATTAGTTGAAATAAAGTATCAAAAGCAAGTAATCATAAGGTTTTATTGAACAAATCTGTTAAAATACATTGTGTTTTAAACTATGGAGCTAATGTACATTATGCATTATAACAAATGCCAGCAGAGGGCGCCAACGGGCTGACGATTGTTTTACACTGCACGATCTAATCCTCGTTTAAAATCGTCCAAACAACATTTCATTCAAATGTCTACATAATCTTTAACATTTGGCCATTTCTTTAGTTTGTGCGGAGCAGCGTTTATTTACTGTGACACGCACACATATGTAAATAATTAAAGCGCACATATTAATCCTGCATCGCATTTATTTAAGTAATTTAATCATAGCGTTTGTGAATTTACAATAGCATTATGCTTTATTACAGCAAGAAGCCGTGGTTTACAGTGAATTTATAACCGCTAAGGGACGTTGTTAAGTACGACGCGGATCAAAGAAGATGATCCAAGGCTGCATGATATTTAATATCATTAATTTACTTTCTCAAGTTTTATTTAATCGCTTCGATGAGACCTTTTAACTGGAAGCGTTTATTTGTGATTGAAAGAAATTTAAATAGTAACTTACAAACTGTGTTTTTAAACCTCGTGAAATGCAGAATTCTGATCGATTTTCGATATCATAAGGCTATGGGAGATCTTATGCGTTTTGAAATGATTTGGTGTTATAAAAGGGCTCTGTGTGAAGTTAGTGATGAGGATTTAGTGGGGATGCAACGATATCAAAATCTCATGATACGGTAATAATATCGCGATGTGAAGTCCACGATACGATGTTTTTTGCGATATTTAAAAAAAAAAGACTAATGAAGAATTGGGGGGGGGATTAAAACTTTATACATTTTAAAGTTAAATTATTCTATCTAATGCACTTTGAGAGTTCAAAATTAAGAGCTGCAACATGTTCTTAACTAAGAAAACTTAAGTCAGAAGAAAGTCAGTGAATTGACTCGTAGCTGAACTTTAGAGTTGGACTCAACCCTCTTTTTATTTGTGATATACTGTCTCAGTCTAAATTACATTCACACTGGGGTTTGAGGAAGCCAAACACATTAGAATAGAATAATAATAATAACAGTGACAGCCATATATTGTAAAACAATAGCACTGTAAAATAAATGAAAATGAATATTTCATAGGTATATTATTTGTGCTTTACACTACATTAGGGAAAGTACAATACTTCTTTCCTAATTTCTACACTTGAAAGAGATGTTTTGGGCTGCATTTAAACCGCTAGCTGTCAGCTATTCATACTGCACTTTAATCTTTTATTCAGAAGGAAACTCCAGCTTCAGTAAAAACATGCTTACAAAAACACAAACACGTCTCACTACAAATCTAGAGAAACGCTGTAATCATCTGCCGCTGAAATAAAGCATAACTGGTGTCTGCTGCGTTCCCAAACGAGCGCTAAACTCACAGAAGATTAAATAAAGGAGTAGACTGCATTCATTCAGTGTGAACGAGTCATTCTGAGACGCAGAAAACACCGGATCAAGAGCTGATCGTCTGAACCAAGTGTGTGCTTCGCTTTAAAACAGACTTGATGAAGAGATGAAGCATATTGTGCTTTCGGTTTGAGTGTTTCACAGATACTGTGCCAAAGCATAATGACCCAAAACACAACTTTAAACACCTTTTATGCCTTTTAGAATAAAAAGTTAAAAACGTACTTTTTGCATATCGTTTCATATCGCCATGCGACCGCGATAATATCGTGATATTTCGATATTTCGATATTGATAATATTGTTACATCCCTAGGATTTAGTTAGATAATCCATGTATGCTGTTATTTTGGTGTGGTTTTTGTATTTAAAATGAATTGTGTGTTTATAAAGTAGGGACTGATTGTGTAATGTTGTTGATAAAGGTGTGTTGAAATTCAAACTCTGTCTCTCTCTCTGTCAGAGGTATGTGTTGTGTGAGACAGAGGAGCATCATCTCTTCTTTGATTTGTTGGAGGGCTTGCTGGAATATGAGCCGGATAGGCGCTTGCCTCTCTCCGCTGCGCTGCTTCATCCCTTCTTCAGTCCTGTCCGAGACGCTGAACACTTCAGTGGAGCCCGTGACATCAGCCGGTGACCTCTGACCTCTCCTTTAGCCTGTGCTTCCACTCCGCTAGCGCCTCAGAGCGGGATATCCTGTTCCTGAGCCGCTGGTTCTGATCCACGTGAGCAGGTTGGTCATTCAGTCTTATGAATATGTCATGAAGAAGAGGCTGCTAACGATTGGCTGAGGTCTCTGCTCACTGCTGATTGGTGGGGCTGAGCACAGAGAGAGACATGACAGCCAATAGAATTAGACTGACACCTTCACATGCTCCCTGATTGGTCAGTCCTCGTTTGACGGACAGCTTCAGGGGGCGGGACGTCTTAAGGTTGTTTTGGGATCATCACATGATTTCAAATATTGCACATGTCGCGGTTCTCAGCAGATGAACACTTTTTCAGTATTTATTTTATGACTCGAGTTGTTTTGTATGAGATGAATATCCTCATTTCTATAGTAATAAAACGTGCTTCGTATCATTTGAGCGAGTGGGAGTGTGTGTGTTTATTAGGAATCTTTTGTAAGGTTTCATCAGTGTTTGTCTGCGCTGAAACGAACTCATGTTTGCATGAGCACTTCTGAGGAACAACTAGTCACCGACAAAGGTTAGCAGGTTAGTGACACCAATATTCAGAGATTTGAAACTGCATCTTCACCAGTACAGCTGTGTTCTGATCTGAGTTGTTTTGTGAATCATAATAATTAAATGTTAAATTATTTTTGCAGAGACATTGTGTAATCTGTGTTGTAATATAATCTATTTAAGATAAAGCCGTCCTCGGTGGTGTATACAAGCTGATGTTCATCTTCTGGACTTCTCTGTGTCTAAATTGTAATGTGAACTATATGCTGATGGTCAAGTCTAAATATGTGAATTAAGGGATTCATAAACTGGTTTGAGCTCAGATATTAACTTGTAGTCCTCTTGAGGTTTTAGGTTAATATTTCAATAATTTAATGATGCGTTCACATGTCCACGGTTCTCTGATATCGGTTTATGGTCACATGACATGCAGGAAAAATATTTTATGGTAACACTTTCCAATAAGGTTCCATTTATTAGCAATAGTTAACTACTTTACTTTTATTAACTTGGCGTATAGGACAACGCACACAGAGCTACCTATTGCACCATTAGCCCATTTCACGGTGAAATGCCAAAAGAAAAGCTACATTTTGAGAACGTTTTATTCATAGTGATGCACAAAGAAAATAGGTTATATAAAACTAGAAATTGTAATGTGTAAGCATGCAAAAAATGCATGTGAATAGTTTCTCGAGGGCACAAAAGTTTCTTGTGTGCATGTATTTTTTTTATTTTTTTATTTTAGGGACTGTAGGTTGTCACTTCGAGAAAATCAGTGAAAAAAACCCAGAGAAAATAAACATTTACAGATGACTGTACTGTATACCAAATATAAAGCTGAAAATAATGCTCTATGAACCGTTTATGTTAAATATGGTCTGAAAATCTACCGAGAGGTTTGGAAATTTGAGTCTGGAAAAGTATGGAATTTTAAAATGGAAAATGGGTAGAAACCCTGAATAGTGTCTGTGCAATCAGTCAAGTGAACTAAGCAAGCTGTGTGTGTGTGTGTGTGCATGCGTGTGTGTGTGTGTGTGTGTGTGTGTGTGTGTGTGTGTGT